TCACATTCATACACATGAGGACCTAGTACTGGTTTTAACTACAAACGTTATAGGCGAGGTTACTTGATACTATCTTTTTTTCTGTGATTAGGGAGGGTTCATAAAGGTGTTCTAACAGGTATATGTTATTCATAAAAAGAATTAACTCAAAATGTATGTTGTTGGAGTCATAAACGAGATTATTTTCGCTATGATACGACTAATTCAACTCGAGTCACAATAGAATGAAAACAAAAAAGAAATGACAACGTCTTTCTCTCTCATTGAAATCTCTGTATGCCAAACTTCAAACACGATTTCCCAAAACACATACATTTTGAGTTAATTCATCTTACTAATAATACAAATGTGAAAGTTTAGAGTTTGTAGCCTAAACGGCTGAACAAATCTCGATGAAGTTTGTCATAGACATAGAGGATAGGCTAAGAACACATAGGCCACTCAATTTTTATTTTTTCTACTACCACGAGAACGAAGTCGCGGATGAAAGATTTTAGATATATAATAAAAATTACTAACCTATACATTCTTCCAGACTTTCTACAATTTCATCCATATCCGTTCAGCCGTTTCAGCTACAAACTCTAACAAACATCCATCCATCTAAACTTTCGCATTTATAATATTAGTATGATAGATAAACCCTAGCGTGTGTGACGAAACATTCTTCGTCCGTCTATCCCATTGTGTGTACTAACCTGCATGAGTGAGCACTTCTCGTGTAACCAGGCGCGGTGCGCGGCCGCCTGTTCGGTGTAAGCGGCGGCGCGCCGTTGGGACTCCGCATCGAAGAGCGGGTGCACCGCCGGCGGTTCAGGGAATGTCTCGTATAGTGATGAAATGTATGTGATGAGGGACTTCTCATCCGGTTCGTGTGTGTCCACATCTGGAATTCAATGAAAATAATATAATAAATGCTTAACAATCCCAAGTAGGGTTGTCGACAGGCAGATGGTCATAGTCAATTAAGGTTTATAAAACCATGTACGTCAACCCTACGTGAGTGGGATAAATCTAGGGAGATGATGACATTAGCAACTGCTAAATAAGACGGTCCTCTTAAAAATGAGTTAGCATTTTTCAAACAGTTTTAAAAATGCTTATGCACACAAATACATTTAGACAACCATAATACTAAAGCAGTTGACATGAGTCATACACAACACATACATACATGGTTAGCGTGAATAATATCAGTTGCCTCGGAATGGTGACCGCTTTGATGTCACGATAAGATTGCAAGAATTACCGCAAATGCAGTTTGAAACGCATTTAAACTCGTATATACTTGTATAAGCTTTTATACTTGAATTATACAAATTCAAGTATACAAGCTGGTGTTTTACTAACTTTCAAAGCATTTTACTTCGTATATTTGGTGGTCTGGTGTTTTGACTAGAAATCTATCTATACTATTATCATCATCATCATCATCATCATCAGCCTTTGTTCGTCCACTGCTGGGCATAGGC